GGCCCCCGGACACTGGCTGCGGGCGGGGTGGGGGGCGGGGGGGGAGGCGATGAGCTGAGGGCAGGGGCGTTGCTCACCTGCGTCCTGCCCCTTTCCCGGGAGGCTGGAGGGAAGAGGCCAAAAGCCCTCGGCAAAATGTAGCAAATGTCTGGATGCTGCAAAAGTGTGTGTGTACAGGCACGGACCCGAAGAATCTAGTGACTCCCACACAACCCGTTCCCCGGATGAGGACACTGAGCACAGGAGGAGGGCAACTGGCCTGGAGCCGCACAGCCCCTGAGAGGTGGCGCTCTCGAGGCCCTCCCCCTCCTCCCCAGCGAGCGTCCCACTCCCTCGTGACTGACGGGCTGCCGGGGCGGGGCCTCAGCTGCCCTCCTCCCCCCGCCCCCCACCGCATCCCTAAGGCGAAGGGAGTGAGCGCCGAGCCTAGGGCCGGCCCAGCTCCCCCTGCTGGCCGCACCCGCCCGGGCCCGGGAACCCCAGATCCTAGGTCCTGGCTCCCCGAGCCCAGACCCGGTGGCCTGGGCTGCTGGCAGGCGGCGAGGTGATTCGTGCCAGGAATACCCCCGGGTTTCTGCCGGAGACCAGCATGTCAGCCTGGGGTTGCCCCCATCCCCGCGTCCCCCAGGTTCCCGGTCCTGGAGTATGCCGCTGTGGGCCTGAGAATGGGGGTCCGTGGAAACAGGAGGGGGGTGAGTGTGTGTGAGTAGGCGTGCGTGCGGTGTGTGAGTAGAGTGGACGTGTACGCGTGCAGTCCTGTGTGTTCGGTGATTGCATCCAGACGCCTCTGGAGACCACTCTGCCCCAGGACCCTCCCCAGGCAGCTGCCAGAGGGCGTCCAGGCCTGTGCTTCACCCGCCCCTCAGGGAATCTGGCAGGGAGGCACCTGCGGGCTGGTTCCAGCCCCCAGGCAGCAAAACAGGCCCCCCAGCTCACCCAGTGTTCCCCCATGACCCCTGCCATCTCTGGAGGCCTGGGACCCCGCAATAACCTCTACAGGGGTGAGGCTGCTCCTTCTGCCTGACCGTGTCCCGTCCACCAGCCCGGGCCGCACCTGCCAGGGTCCCACTGGGGTTCTAGGCCATCTGAGGGGGCTCTCTGATGAGCCGGGCTGGCCAGGGAGGGCCTGACCACCCTCTGGCCTGGAGCCCCCACCTCTCCACTCATCCCTCATTCCCATCGCGCAAAAGGGCTATAGGTCCCCCTGCCCTGCCTGGGTCCAGTTTACAAACTGCGGTTGCCCCAGGGCCTGGCCCCGCTCTCCTCGGTGCGCCCGCCCTCCTCGAGACCCATCTCTCCAGTGGGCACTGGGGCCCTCCACACGCCAGGTAAGTAGCAAACCCTCCTCCCACCACGGGCCAAGTTTCAGAGAAGGCCCCCTGTCACTGCCCCTGGCCCACCTGGAGCCCATCCGGGCCACCTCTCTCTCCCAGCCGCGACTTCTCCTTTTGCCTTAGGCCTCTCAACACCCCGTCTCTCCTGCAATAACAAGGAAGCAAGATTCCAAGTAGATGTCCCTCGCCGTGTGCCCTCTCTCTCTCTCTCTCTCTCTTTCTCTGTTAAGACCCTCTTTGGGAGTTTCTCCCTCGTCGTAGTATCTAGAATGTTAGACTCGGGAAGGGGACCGTAGTTATGTAGCCCAGCCCCTGTTTGCGGAGGCACAGAGAGGGGCAGCGATGGCCCCACGCAGGAGCAGGGCCGAAGAAGCCCGGCCTGCTCCGTGGCCGCCGGGGCCCTGTGCTGCCACCTGCTAGTTGGGTTGGGACCCCTCGCCCCTTAGGAGAGGCGTTGGTCACAGATGTTTACCTCAGTTTATGTCACTGTCGAAGAAACAAATAGCAAAAAATTAATAACACCGTAGACACGCAGACTTAGAAGACGAAAAACACACAAAAGATCTTCCCCTGGCAATTCTTCTGTGAAGGTGTGTGTGTGTGTGTATGTGTGTGTGTGAGCGTGTCCGTCCCATCCCGGGCAGGCTGGGTCATCCCCGGTCTCTGTCATAGCCCCTGTGCCTCCATACTGCCCCTGTCCTTCGGTGCTTCCCAGAGGCCCCTCTGAGCTGGCCTGTGGGGTGTGGGGAGCCCCCTGGGCAGGAGGCGGGGCCGCAGGTTAGCTAGAGCCCCACTGAGCAGAGCCCCACGGCTGCCACTGCTCCCTGAGCCCGTGCTGTGGCCGGTGGGACAGTCCTGGTGGCTAGCATCAACATCCAAGCCTGGCTCAGGGCCTGGGCGGAATCCCAGCCCTCCTGTCTTGCCACCCCCCCCCCCCCCCCCCCCCCCACCATGTGTTTGTAAATATTCTGGCATCCTTTGGCCCTGAGAAGGTTTTTAAATGTGTTATTTACTTCTCTAATCATGACAATTGCTATAAAATAAACAAAAGCCTAGAAAAATTACCACTGGGTGGCTGTCTTGTCTCAGAAACGGACGGAGTAGGGAGAGGGCACACAGAATTACTCTTGAACTGCAAACTCGACAGATGTTCTGAGTGGGGGAAGGGGTGTCTGCAGAGTCTGAGGGCAACTACTTCAGGCCTCCTGGGGCCTCTCAGGCCTGGAGCAGGTCCGGGCCAGGGCTTGAAGGCGACGGGAACAGGGACCGGGTTCTGGGAGGGAAGGGGCAGTGAGTTGTCCCCGGCCTGGCATCCGCCTTCAGCTCGGAGCCCTTCAGACTGGGCAGAAAATAGAAGCGAAAGCCCAGAGGAACAGAGCAGGCTGCTTTCACCCAGCCACCACCCAGCAAATATTTACCGAGCACCTTCTGTGTCCCGGGCTTCCTCCTAGGAACCCGGGATACAGCAGTGAGCAGGACAGATGGCGTCCTTGTCCTCAGGCGGCCAGCGATGGAGTCGTGGAGACAGACATGACCCACATAGAAGGCTGGGTGCTGGGCAAGTACGTAACTGAGAAGCTCATCAAGTTTGGGGGTGTCGGGAGCCCACTGAAGACGGAAACCAGAGCGTTCAGAGTTCTCTGGGCAGTGGGGCACGGCCGGGTAGTCCTTAGGGTGGCCTCCGAAGTCCCACCCCATCCCCTCTCCCCTCCCCTGTGCTGCCTCCCAGCCACACTGGCTCTTGGGACGGCCCAGCATGCTCTCCCCTCAGGGCCTGTACCTGAGTAGATTTGGGGACTCTCCCAAATCTCCCCCCAGAGTCCCCTCCCTCCCTTCCTTCAGGTCCCTGCTCAAATATCAAGGGATCAGAGGAAACCGCTTGGGCCAGGAGCCCCTTACCCTGCTCATGACACGCTGAGTACCCACCACGGCTCACGATAGCGTGTTCTCTGCCCACTAGAACGGAAGTTCCACAAGAACGGCGTCAGTGTTTGGCAAACTGCTATCCCTTCTCCACCTCCGATGCCTAGCGGCACAGGACAGACACTCCCCAGCGATCCGTCAGCTTCATGAATGAATGCCCAATACTGTTTTAGGGGCCGAGGATCCAGCAATGAATAAGACCAACGATCCCTATGCCCTGAAGCTTACTTGCTGAAGAGGAAACTAGACATCCACTAGATTATGTAATTATCCATGTAAAAAAAATAGAGAGGAAAAACCGTAAGAAAAGAGAAAAACAAATCTACTCCGACTAGATCACAGGGGTAAGGGCTCATACCCAAGAATTTTAGCTAGGATATGTTAAAGAAAACCCTGCCGTTTCAAAACATCTGCCGCTTCCCTGCAATGATAAGGGTGGATACCTAGGGGCTTAACAGAACACTTTAAAATGGATTAAGGGGTGGAGGGGAAGTCTACAAATGCCACCAGTGGCCCTGTTTCCCCGCTCGGTGGGTGTACGAATATCACCTTCTAACTGCCCTAGTGTCAGAGAAGTGCCGGGACTTACCACTAGGGGGCCTCGGTTTTCTGCCGCTGTTGCTTCGTCCTGCTGCTTAGCATCACTGATGAACCCCTGTGTCAAGGCCACAGGGGCTTGGCCAGAAAGGTTTCCAGCGTCTCCCACACTCTATCTTAAGACAAACCCCTGCAACCCTTTCCATGCAGGGTGGGTAACGTCCCCTTGATCATGGTCAGTTCCTTCTCAAGGGCCCTTGGTGTCTTCTCCCGCCCATAGTCTTCAGGTTAGACTCAGTCCATCAGAAAGGTTCCAGTAACATTGAAGTTCAGGAGGGAAGGGCTTATGGGGGCGCCTGGGTGGCTCAGTCGGTTGAGCGTCTGACTTCCGCTCGGGTCGTGATCTCGCAGTTCGTGGGTTCGAGCCCCGCGTCGGGCTCTGTGCTGACAGCTCGGAGCCTGGAGCCTGCTTCGGATTCTGTGTCTCCCTCTCTCTGACCCTCCCCTGTTCATGCTCTCTGTCTCAAAAATAAATAAACGTTAAAAAAAAATTTTTTTTTTAAGTAGGCCACGTAATTAACAATACCGTATC